AAATGATTTTTCTGTTTTGTTTTGTTTTGTCTCTGCGTTTTTATGAAGGACCCAAATGACGGCGACAGTCTGCCTCTACCACTGCCTCTACCCCTCGTCCAGCAGCAATTCCTGTCTGGCTGCCACCATCAGCCATTAAGCCAGCTCCATGGCATCGCATTGATCTCAATGAACCGGGCACACCCGCTAAGTGATTTCCCAAGCCACGTTCGATTGCCGCTCGCTCTGGGCGAAGAAGAAGCAACAGCGATTGGTGCGACTATCGTGTTTTGCATATAAAAACGAATCGTTTAGATCGACGCGGTTTTTGGTCACGTCGCGCCCATATGGCAAAATCAACACAATATAGAAAGCACATGTCTAAGACAGACCCAAACCCAAACCCAAACCCATACACCAGACCCCAGACCCCAGACCCGTTCCTACTATAATAATGATAATGCCTAGCATGGGGGACGGCCTGCCGACATTGTCGGCGACAATGCCAATTAGCAATTAGAGCATTATCTAGCATTAGGCAATGGCAATAACAATAATGATGAGGTGTGCCGCGGCATGCCGCAAGGAGTCGACGTCTAACAGCATTGATAGACCGCAATTTTCCACCTTACAAATGGCGACAATTTTGCATAGCTTCAGGTAAACGCTGATAGATCAATAGATAGAAATAGATGCCTCCCATGTTAGCTTAGAAATTAGAGTTTCTGTTGCCTCTAAGAAAGACGTATGATTAAATCATGACATGGCATGCGTCCAACTTGTGGCTCTTCAATAGATTTCGCAAATATTTGCTCTCTCAGCAAACTCTTTACTGACTTCCGGTATATTGGGATTTCCAGCTTGAGCACGAATTCAATGTCATTTTGCGTAGTTATCTGCAGGTTATCTAATCGGCCAGGCGTTTTCGTATGCAAACAGACCAAAGTATAACTGTGAAATGCATTTTGGGATAGAGAGAAATGGGGAGAGAGATTCGGCAGAGAATGGAACCTTATTCAATCTCATTGAGAGTCATTTCCGGACCATCTCAAGGATACCTGCAAGTCAAAAAGTTGTCTTTCCTTAGAATCCCACATTCTGTACTTTGAAATGGGATTTGGAATGGGTTACACTTCCATTGCAGAGACCATGTAGATAGAACTGCAAACGGATGTACCCTATCCAATCCACTTTAGCCTGAAACACCCTTAAAATAATGCAAAAGCCAATCAAAAGCATAGACTAAGATATTTCCCTGTTCTTCCTTGCAGACATCAACTACCATGGATAAGTCCACGCTGACACAGAAGAATTATGCGAGCGTCTACAAAGAGACGACGAAGCCCAAGAAACCGAAACGTCGCGACAAGAGCGATCTGGGTCCCGATTTTGTGGCGCCCGATGGCGGCTGGGGCTGGGTCATCTGTGTGGCTGCGGGCTTGAATAATGTGAGTACCACAGAGCGATCTACAGTATATATGGAAATGACATCAACTAATCCGGCGGGGCTTTGTATAGTTCTTTATGTTTCCGGCACTGCAACAGTACGGTCTGATCTACCGGGCGCGTATGTCGACGCTGGGCTTCGATGCCAAGGATACGACGATCATTGTGAATGTGGTGATGACGCTGTCTTCGCTAGTGGGTAAGTCACAGCATCTCTGAGCGGATGTAGGCTTGGGTAACTACATCTCAAATATTTCCAGGCATTGTCAATGGAGCAATGTTTCGGCGCTTCACCTTCCGCCAGGTGGCGCTGGCGGGCACTACCCTTGGCTTTTTGGGCATCTTCGGCTCGGCCTTCTGCGTCACCGTCTGGCAGTACATCATCTGCCTGTCGCTGATCTATGGTGTGGGCCTGGGTCTGGCCATGGCCGCCGTCTCGCTGGCCGTGAACACATACTTTAAGCACAGCCGTCGGCGCGCCACCGGCTTCTCGTGGACCATCACGGGCCTGGGACCCATCATCTTTCCGTACGTGTCCACCTTTCTGCTGGACTACTACGGTTCGCTGGGCACGATTTTGGTGTATGCCGGCATCGCGTTCAATGCGGTGCTCTGCGCCCTTACGCTGCAGCCGGTGATGCGGCATGTGCGCAAGCCGGAGAAGCCCGAGCCCGACAGCGTCGATCCCAAGGACCAGCCGGAGCTGCTCGAGGCCAATGGCAATCTGCTGTCCACGGGCAGCGATCCGTGGAGCGACTACGAGTGCAAGTACTGCCAGTACCAGAGGCGCGCCAAGCGTGGCATCTTCTCCTCGCAGTACCTCTTCAATGACGACGATCCCGACCATCCCGGCTACGAGATCACAGATCCAGGCACACCCATGCTGGCGCGTGCCAACGACGGTTGGTTCGGCTCCAAGTTGTCGCTGGTCTCCGAGCGGCGGCAGGTGCTGCTGCGTCAGGCCTCTGTCAGTGTCGTGGCGTCGGCGGCCACCAAGCTGAGTCGCGACAACTTGGACAAACTGGAGGAGGCCAACGAGGCGGACCGGCTGCAGCGGCAGCAGGAGTCGGCCGTGGGTCTATCCAAGCCGAACTACTTCAGTCGGGAACGCGGCGATCTCGGCCGGTATGCGAGCAAGGCGAGCATCTACTCCAAGCCAGGCGGCGAGGAGCTGCTGCGCTGCACTTGCGCCGAGGACAAGGCGGTGCTGGAGAAATCGGCCGCGGCGCTGCGTCTCCAGGAGCAGGCGCTGCAGGCCGCCGTGGAGGCCGAGGAGGTGGCCAAGCGCAAAATGAAGTTTCGCCAGAAGGTGGCCAAATTCTTCGATCTGGATCTGCTGCGCAACGTGACCTTTGTCAATCTGGTCATCGGCATGAGCATCATGATGTTCGGCGAGATGAACTTCTCGGTGCTTACTCCGTTCATTCTGGACAGCTATGGCTACACGAACGAGCAGTGCTCCCTGGTCATGTCGCTGCTGGCCTGCATGGACATCTCGGTGCGCTTCCTGGCCCCGCTCTTTCTCGAGAAGGTGAACCTGGACAATCGGGTGCTATTCGCCTTCGGCATCGTTTGCATCGCTGTCGGCCGCGTCATCGTCACCATGGCCTCGTCCTACAATGTGATCGTGGCCGTCTTTCTGCTCATCGGCTTCGGCAAGGGCTTCCGCACCATATTCTCCCCACTGATCATACCCAGCTATGTGCCGCTGCGTCGCCTGCCCGCCGCCTCCGGACTGCAGCTGATCTTCAACACGCTCTTCTCCTTCGCCATGGGACCCCTGCTGGGTGAGTATTTCTGGTCAAGCACAGCACGCTGGAATCCCTCTAATCTCGAATCTCGAATCTTTGTGCTTTGCAGGCGTCATCACCAACGCCTATGGCTACAGCGCCACCATTCACTGCATCAACACCCTCACCGCCGTCGCCCTGCTCATGTGGATCGCCGAGTCAGCGATCCGACGTGCGCTCGGCAAGCCGTACAACCCACCGGAACAGTAACGGTCAGCTGGGGCAGCCCTGCTGCAACAGAGCTACTTATGCGGCCCACCACTGTAGACCAGTTGGCCCAGGTCAAATCTACATCCATTTTAATTACCTTGTCTATAGTATTATCCTAAGCAATTCGCATTAGTTTCATAGCATAAGTTGCTAGAACTTTAGTGATATTACCTAGCGTAATACACGATTTCATACACGTCTTAGGTACTTATAGTTAGTTATAAAAATATTTTTTTTTTTACATATGTGCTAGCTTTAACGGTACTCTACTTTAAAAAAAAAAAAAAAAAAAAAAAAACATTAAACGTTTCACTTGATTGATTGTGAACTGAAGAACTGAGTTAACATATATTTTTTTGACTAAAATTTTGAGATCATTTCATATTATATCGAGCTTTTACTGTACCATGTGCTGTAAAATCTCTCAATTAAAAAAGGTATATTTGTGTATAAAACAAAATATACACACATCGGTCAACTAAAGGACATAAGGAAACTAACAGTAAATACAATATACATCATATTGTTCGATAAATAAATATATATAGATATATAGAATATACATAGTTCGATTAACGAACACAACTCTTGCTCGAGGCGTTCGTTAACCGAGGGTTCACTGTATATGATAATACATTTACTGGGTGTCAAACGGCCAGTTAGCACTGAAATATAAATGGCGTTAGTTTTCTGCACAGTTGGCGTTCGATAATACCATAAGAAGTTAAACAAGAATTTAAATAAAATATAATATCACATCAAAAGAAATAAATAGTTTCACTGAATAAACTGAATTTGTCAAACACCCCACGCAGCTCGCTCGCGCTTACTGGCGTTAACAGTTGCAGCGCTATGGGCTACACAGCATGCACTGCTGTTAGTTAACAGTACGCTAACAGCTCGCTGTTGACGCTGCACACTGTTCGGCGTCTCTCAATTGGATTGGCAATTGCGCTGATTTGACGTCGGGCAATTATCGGTTTTTAGTTTGTTTGAGCAGCTAAAGCAGACGAGACAGCGGCCCACGTAACGAGCCGTTAACCGTTAGCCCGCTTACCCGCTTGCCCGTTTAACCGCTTAGCAATTGTTAATCATTGAAGCGGCATGCCAATTGGATAAGTGCAATTGCAGTGCCGCATTGCTTCAATTGGATTCTAATTCGAATTTCGGCTACGTTACTCCAATTGGACGAAATCGGATTGCGGTGCGTGGTGCTTGGCGACGTTGAACTTGATGAGTTGCCAAAGTCAAAGTCACTAAAAAGATGTAAAATTATTTATTCTTGTTGTTTTTTTTTTATGTGGGCGTGAAAGTGTGTGTGTGTGTGTGTGTGTGAGCGCACAAGTAAAAATAAAATTGCATACGCAACACGAGAAGGAGAAGGGAAAGCAGAAGGCGCCAAGAGACAGATCGACTGCCAACGACAAAATTCGCATTCGCATTAGCCAAGAGGAGCAAGCCAAAGCAATTAGCAACAACTATATATATATAAATTTATATAAATATATATATATATATATATATATATATTGTCATCAAGGTATGCGCACACTTGTTTAGAGATATATCAATCTATGGCTGATTACATGACATGATTAAATCGGTTCTGTAACACGTTCTTATCACGAATTTCGCTCATGAGCTGGGCGCCAAAGCGCAATCGCATTGCAATCGCCTTGCCACACCTGCAGTGCAGCTGCCCGCCTGGGCGTGGCTCTAGGGCAGCCAAAAGGACCAACAAGCCATCGAATCACTCAAAGAACTATTCTTATCAGTTGGCTGTATGTATCTCTCGCTATATAGAAGCTATATAGTAGTCAAAGCTGCACGGCAAACAGATAAAGATAAGATCAACAAGCGAGCTATTGACAGAGCTGATTGGCTTGCAGTTTGCACAGGTAACTGAGGCAGTGATAAGGCTTGATCGATCAATAGTACTGAGGCAGCAAGAGAGATCGTTTTCAACTATTGTACAACATATATAAATGCATGTATATGCCACATACGAATCATACACTCCAGTCCTAGTTTGCCAAAATGATTCACTGTAGGCTTAGGTTGGTCTTGGCAAAGTCGGGCCATATGACGATGCTGCTAGGGAGGGCAAAAGACCTCAGCTATGAGCCCGACAACAACATCAACAACAACAATCACAACAATTAGTAACGTTGCAGTCGGGCGTTACCAGCTACAGAATACTCCTTCACATCCCATCAACAATTTAGAGGCTAAGTTTAGCTCTAATATAGTGCAAGGTGCAGTTTCTCCCGATTGGCCACGCCCCTAGTGACCATAGGCACCTTATTCCTGGCCTAACTGCAAAATTTGTATGCTTATGCTCCAAAAATGTCAAAATTACAGTGTATTTTTCGATCGTATCGATATGTATCGATAGAGGAGGTTACTAGTAACTCAACTATCCAAATTTGAAGCTTCTAGCTCTTAAACTGTAGGAGATATAAACTTTTGCGGTTTGCCACGCCCCCTGTAGGCGGCCATATATCTGCCATAGCTTTTAGGTCTTGGGAGGTCAGCCCAATTATACATATATACCAACTTCTAGCATCAATAGTGTCCAAAATATAGCAGATTAATCACAATATCTTCACGGACAGACAGACGGCCAACAAGACGGACATTGCACAAAACCAATATACTCATTTCACTCCCGTGAATGAGTATAAGAAGAGCAACGGCAATGCGAGCTCATACCTGACAGTTGCCGCGTGCCGTCGCAGTTAATTCTGACAAGTGCTCGTTAGAGCTCTATTGCAATTGAACTGGCTTTAAATCGTTCCGGAATTGGCGTCGATGCCACGATCATGATTTTCGCTTGGCATCGGCTCCAGTTGCGTCACAGCGCTAGCTGATGAATCTATTGGCATTGATTGCAGAGCGAGGCCAGAGGCGCCAGCGAGACGAGATTCGACATGCCGTCCCAGGAGCAGAAGGTCTATGGGGATACGACGCAGCCGCTGCCGCGACGCGCCGCAGGAGACGGCGTCTACTACAACAGGAAGGACAAGAGTGATCTGGGCGAGAATTTCGTGGCGCCCGATGGCGGCTGGGCGTGGCTGGTGTGCATCGCCGCCGGCATATCGAATGTAGGTAAAATCGAAACTCCCATCCAGTGCCAAGCAATTATCCATGGGCAATGCCATCGCTCTGACAGATGTCGCTGTATCCGTGCCTGCAGCAGTTCGGGCTGCTGTTCGGCCAACGCCTCCGGGTGCTGGGCCTGAGCAGCTCCCAGGTGACGACCATAGTCAACACGCAGCCGGCTGTCGCTGCCTGCTCGGGCCTGCTCAACGGGCCCATGTTCCGGCGCTTCACCTTCCGGCAGGTGGCCATGGCGGGTGCGTTGCTCTCCTTCACCGGCATCGCGCTGAGCGGCTTCTGCGAGACGTTTGCCGGCTACATAGTCGCCTATTCGGTGCTTTACGGTAAGCCGTGTGCCATTCGATTGCTCCAATTCCTCTGTGGTCACCTCCAACTCCATTCTCAGGCTTTGGCATGAGCATCAACGTGTCGGCCTCCTCGCTGGCGATCAACACGTACTTCCAGCAGAAGCGGCGACGCGCCGCCGGCTTCTCGTGGACAATCACCGGACTGGGGCCGATCTTCTTTCCATATCTGGTCACGTTCCTGCTGGGCATCTACGATGTCCAGGGCACGGCGCTGATCTTTGCCGCCCTGGCGCTGCACAGCTTTGTCGGCGCGCTGATCTTTCAGCCGGTGCGCTATCACCTGCGCCCGAATGCTGCGACTGAGGCCAAGGATGAGGCTGATGCGGCACTCAAGCAGCCGGAGCAGCAGCCGGAGATACTGTGCGCCCATTGTACGCTGCAGCGCAAGCGCGAGCCGGGCGGCATCTTCTCCAGCCAGTATCTGTACCAGGACGACGATGCTCAGCGACCCGGCTACGAGATCATTGAGCCGGGCACGCCCATGTTGTCGCGGGCGAACGACGGCTGGTATGGGTCCAAGATGTCGCTCACCTCTGGACGCATGCGCTTCCGCACGGTGTCCAGCTCGAAGGACTTGGAGCATACGCAACGCCTGCACAGTCCTGTCAGCAAGGAGCAGCAGCAGGACGACGACTTCCTGCGGCCGAATTACTTTCGGCGAGAGCGCGAGGAGTCCATGCTGGAGTCGAGTCGCTGCAGCTGTGCGGAGCAGCGGGCGATCGCTGCTGCTCGCCAAATGGAGCAGCAAGCGGAGCACAATAACAACCACAGCGGCGACACGGAGCTGCCGCAGCCATCCCAGATGAGCTTCGTGCAGAAGATCGTGACCTTCTTCGACCTGGACCTGCTGCGCGACATAACGTTTGTGAATCTGGTCTTCGGCCTGACGGTCATCAACTTCGGGGAGCTGAACTTCGCGATTCTGACGCCGCTCATATTGACGGACTTCGGATTCGAGACGCCACAGATCACGGTGGCCATGTCCCTGATGGCCGGCATGGACATGACGGTGCGCTTCCTGGTGCCGTTCGTCACCGAGAAGATACCCTGGGATAACCGCGTCTTCTTTCTAATTGGCGTCATGGGCATCGCCATCGGACGCACCGCCGTGGCCTGCACGCCGTCCTACATGGGCATTCTGGCCAGCTTCACCTGGATTGGCCTGTGCAAGGGCGTGCGCACCATCTTCTGGCCACTGATCATACCCGGCTACGTGCCCCTGAATCGTCTGCCAGGCGCATCTGGCCTACAGCTGCTCATCACGGGATTGTTCACGCTCATCTTTGGTCCCTTTGTGGGTGGGTATTATCTATTATCTACAGCTGTATTTGTATTTGTATCTGTATCTGTATCTGTATCTGTATCTGTATCTGTATCTGTATCTGTATCTGTATCTGTATCTGTATCTGTATCTGTATCTGTATCTGTATCTGTATCTGTATCTGTATCTGTATCTGTATCTGTATCTGTATCTGTATCTGTATCTGTATCTGTATCTGTATCTGTATCTGTATCTGTATCTGTATCTGTATCTGTATCTGTATCTGTATCTGTATCTGTATCTGTATCTGTATCTGTATCTGTATCTGTATCTGTATCTGTATCTGTATCTGTATCTGTATCTGTATCTGTATCTGTATCTGTATCTGTATCTGTATCTGTATCTGTATCTGTATCTGTATCTGTATCTGTATCTGTATCTGCACCTGTATCTATATCTATATCTATATCTATATCTATATCTATATCTATATCTATATCTATATCTGTATCTGTATCTGTATCTGTATCTGTATCTGTATCTGTATCTGTATCTGTATCTGTATCTGTATCTGTATCTGTATCTGTATCTGTATCTGTATCTGTATCTGTATCTGTATCTGTATCTGTATCTGTATCTGTATCTGTATCTGTATCTGTATCTGTATCTGTATCTATATCTATATCTATATCTATATCTATATCTATATCTATATCTATATCTGTATCTGTATCTGTATCTGTATCTGTATCTGTATCTGTATCTGTATCTGTATCTGTATCTGTATCTGTATCTGTATCTGTATCTGTATCTGTATCTGTATCTGTATCTGTATCTGTATCTGTATCTGTATCTGTATCTGTATCTGTATCTGTATCTGTATCTGTATCTGTATCTGTATCTGTATCTGTATCTGTATCTGTATCTGTATCTGTATCTGTATCTGTATCTGTATCTGTATCTGTATCTGTATCTGTATCTGTATCTGTATCTGTATCTGTATCTGTATCTGTATCTGTATCTGTATCTGTATCTGTATCTGTATCTGTATCTGTATCTGTATCTGTATCTGTATCTGTATCTGTATCTGTATCTGTATCTGTATCTGTATCTGTATCTGTATCTGTATCTGTATCTGTATCTGTATCTGTATCTGTATCTGTATCTGTATCTGTATCTGTATCTGTATCTGTATCTGTATCTGTATCTGTATCTGTATCTGTATCTGTATCTGTATCTGTATCTGTATCTGTATCTGTATCTGTATCTGTATCTGTATCTGTATCTGTATCTGTATCTGTATCTGTATCTGTATCTGTATCTGTATCTGTATCTGTATCTGTATCTGTATCTGTATCTGTATCTGTATCTGTATCTGTATCTGTATCTGTATCTGTATCTGTATCTGTATCTGTATCTGTATCTGTATCTGTATCTGTATCTGTATCTGTATCTGTATCTGTATCTGTATCTGTATCTGTATCTGTATCTGTATCTGTATCTGTATCTGTATCTGTATCTGTATCTGTATCTGTATCTGTATCTGTATCTGTATCTGTATCTGTATCTGTATCTGTATCTGTATCTGTATCTGTATCTGTATCTGTATCTGTATCTGTATCTGTATCTGTATCTGTATCTGTATCTGTATCTGTATCTGTATCTGTATCTGTATCTGTATCTGTATCTGTATCTGTATCTGTATCTGTATCTGTATCTGTATCTGTATCTGTATCTGTATCTGTATCTGTATCTGTATCTGTGTCGGTATGAATCGGTATATCTATTTTTATCTATATTGTTTTACATATCTGTATCCATTAACCTTTTCTGATTCATGCAGGTCTAGTGCGCGATCGCTTCAACTATTCGGTGGCGCTGCACTGCCTCAATGCGCTGTCCTTTTTGGCTGCTGCTTTGTGGGTCCTGGAGGCGCTGCTGCGACGGCACAGGCGCAAGCTGGCCAGTTGATTAATAACAATATGTTAAATATATAAATTATGATTTTTTAGCACTAAGCTCTTATGTAAACTATGCACAAATATGTACATATTATACTAGCTGATGGTAGCAAGAGATTACCTATAAGATAATACAATTTATTCACTCTCTTTTAAAAATGGCTGTATATCTATTGGCTAGATATCTACTTGATATGTAATGCATTTCTTTGATCATAAGTCAAAAGACTCTGACAACTCCTTGGCTTTGTATTCATATTATAAAAAGTGCAGCATACTTTTGCGCGCCACACAAATAGCAGCGCATGCAGCAGTTGCATATTTTTGTAGCATACTTTTAGGCAGAGTCAGTATTAAATGCAGGAATAAATCAAGGCACGTACAAATATTACGTTTATTTTAATATATTGAATAAGTTGCAATTCTCTCAGCTTAGATACATAAAAGTGACTTTCGATTCGCATTTTATATGTCTTATGATAGCATTTCAATAGCTTATTTTCTTCATTTTTTTCTGTGGTTTTGTTTAATCTTTTTATTCCGCTTAAGTAATTAGAAACATACGTACACACTGCGCAGCCGCCCCCACACGCACGTGACAATGGGGCGTGGCCAAACTAGACTTTCCATATTGCTACGAACATATATATGCATATATATATTTACCTATATATATGTATATACTTGAAATACAATTAAAGTTCACGTCACGAAAAAAAAAAAAACAAAAAAAATATATATATGTAGCAGTAAAACACATTACCAATACGGATAAAACTAAGTGTACGTGTAAAGCTACCAAATGCAAAAATACTCTAAAATTGGTTTAAGGCTTACAAAATAAATTCGCAACACGATAAGTCAGGTGCAAGCATCCATCGAATCGGCCTGGGGAAATATATTACAATAGATGCGCCGCTCTGGTCAATGGAACCGCTTTGGGAAATCGGAACTCAGGAGCTCTCTGCTCTCTGCTCCGGCTGAGTCCTGGAGGGCTGCGTCCTGGCATTGGCTCTATCTGGGTCTAGGCGATATCGTGGACTTTGGTGTTGGTCGCTGCAGCGCAGCCGCCGAGGGCGCCGCTGTCACAATTGTGATTACCTGAGTGTGTGTGTGTGTATGTGAGTGTCGAGTGAGCGGATGTGGATGCAGTGATGAATCATGAATAATATGCATATGTGTGTGTGAGTGTGTTCGAGACAAAGCAAACATTATGATTACGTATCAAAGCCAACGGTTTGCTGCATTGCGATTTACTTTGGAATTGCCATCAATGATCTCCACTGGCTCCGCTGGCACATAGGCGGACAGACCCATCAAGCCAAATATGTCCGGCGTATAGTTGCGCACCTGTTCTGTCGCGGGCGTGGGCGTGGCGGCCATTACATCGCTGGTGACTGTAAGCGGAGAGTGAAAGTGGCGAAGAGCAAAAGAGAGAGAGAGAGAAAGGTATAAGATTAAAGAGGTTATATTCAAGGTGGCTGGCAAGCACCGACTGCATGATACTCGCGCATCATGATCATATAACCGTGGCTTATCCTAATGGGCAGGCTATATAGAGTAGATTAACACTGAGCTGTTGTAATCCCAGCTCTAAAGCTGATAAGTTTTTACCACGTCCCACAAGGATTTCCACATATTAGACAGATATTTCTATTTAAGGTTATATAAGCTATAAACTTGTTTAATCCAGTTTTCGATCTCTAACGGATAAAACCAATATACCCAGTTCACTTCTTGAGCGAGTATAAAGTGAGAATATTTCAAAGTGAAGCGCAGGAGATCTGAACTCCATTGTCTCACATCCAATCAATAGCATACGGACTGATAGCCGATGCTAATATACCCGGCTTACTATGTGAGAGAGTATGAAAAGAATATGCATCGAAATTTCAAGCAGGAGAAGCAGACTCCATTGTCCTATATGCTAGATAGACCCTAGGGAAAGCTGGTTTCATAGCTAAAAGACAGACGAACAAAAACCCAATATACCCAGCTCGCTTCTTGAGCGAGTATATGGCCGACTGTGAAGCGCGGGAAGCAACCTCGATGGCCTTAGATGCAACTAGTAAGCCTATCCCGTATCACCTTACCTGTTGCCGCAGCTGGTGTGGGTCGCACACGTGGAAATCTAGGCCCCGGCGTTTGGTAGACCGGCGCCGGCACCGAGGCCGATGCGGCCAGCTCGCTGTGCTGGGGCTGATGGCGCGGCTGTGGCGTGACGACGTACACCTTCTCATTGGTCTGGGGCAGAATGGCCACCTTGGCCTGCTTCCACAGCTCGACGGGCGCCGGCGTGGAGGCGGTGGTGCGCATGTACAGGGGCGTGATCGAGTCGCGCGTCGTCTCCGCCGTGGGCGCTGGCGTTGTCGTTGTCGCCGTGGGCGTGGCTGAGGGCATGGGCGTGGTGCGATGCGACGACTCGTGGTAGTCGGGCAGCAGGCGATTGTCCTCGACGGACGGGAAGCGTCGCAGATGCAGCTGCTCCAGATTGTTAATCGAGGTGGACAAATCCCCGGCATTGCCCAGGCTCGAGGTGGCGCCGCTGCCCAGCTCAAAGCCACCGGCGACACCGCTGCGCGTCGTCTTCGACTGACGCAGCGCCGTCGATGTGGCCGTCGGGGTAGCCGGCGTCGTTGTGGTCAAGTACTCCGTGGGTATGTGCTTGGAGCGGCCGCGTATGGTCGGCGTGCTGGGGCGGTGCGACAGAGAATTGTACTCCTGCTCCGTCCAGCCGTCGATGTTGTGCTGCAGCTTCGAGATGTCCACGCCAAAGTGGGCGGGCCGTCGCTTTGTCTCGCGCTCCCGCTTCAGCAGCTCGCGCAGATTGGAGGCCAGGATTTTGGTCAGATATTTGGTGGTGCGACGCGTGTTTGGTGGTGGAGCCACTGTCACTGCGGACGTGCTCACCAGCTTCGATTCCTGCTGCTCGTGCAGCTCATTCTCCTGGCTCGGCCGCAGCCGCCAGCCGGGCGTCCAGTTGACCGGCTCGAAGGGGCGTGGCTTCTGCTTGGTCGTATACGGTATGATCACCTGCTGTGGCCCCGGCGGCGACATGCCCGCATACTGTCCGCTGGCATCGATCGCACCGTACGTGGACGTCGGCGTCGGCGCTTGCGTCTGCGTCGGCTGCTCGTGCCGGAAGCTCAGCTCGGCGGGATCACGGGTGAAGGGGCGTGGCGGCGGTGCTCCGTGCGCCTGGCCATGATTGATGGGCGAGTCGAGCAGCCGCTTGGGCGTCTCCCGTTGCCGTCCATCGCGCCCGTGCGACACCAGATGATTGTTCAGCTCGACAGCAGCCGACGGAGCCGGTGCCGGTTGCTCCGTGGTATAGATCAGCGACTCGTACACGGGCGTCACGGTGCTCGTCTCCGTTAGGTCCTGGTACTGTTCGGCATAGTAAAGGTGCTGCTGCTCCTGCTCCTCCTCGTGCTGCTGCTGCTGCTGCGACGATGCGGCCGGATAGTTGTCTGCGGCCGGAATTTGCGTTGTCGGCGTCTCCACGGTGATGGGCGTAAAGTGGCCCAGCTCGGTGAGGAGCTGCGAGGCAGGCAAATGCTGATGCACTGCACCGCTGCTCAGGTCCTCCAGCTGATAGCGCACAGTGCTTATATCCAGCTCCTGCTGCTGCTGCTGCTGCTGCTGCTGCTGTTGCTGTTGCTGCTGTTGCTGTTGCTGCTGTTGCAACTGTTGTTGCTGCTGCTGTTGCAACTGTTGCTGCAGCTGATGGAGAGGTCTGTGATTCTTAGGCAGCGCTGTGGCCGTCGGCGTTGCCGTTGCCGTCTGGCCCAGGTCAATGGCATGCGACTGCACATAGGTGGCCGGATACTCCACGGAGGTGACAAAGTCTGTCAGCTGATGGCTTTGCACAATCTCAAAGCTGCTGCTGCTGCTGCTACTGCTGCTGCTCGATTGTCTGGGCGGCGGCTGAGGCGTGGTCGATGGCACCGCAGGCACAGGTCGCAGCTCCGAGTGAGCGCCAACATTCTCCAGCGGATAGAGATGATGCTGCTGTGGCTGCGGCTGTGGCTGTGGCAGCGGTCGGAATGGCTGCGCATTGTAGAGTGGAGGCATGGCCACATGACTCAGTCCGGGCACTGGCAGCGAGATGGGCAGGAAGACGCTCTGGGGTGGCGCCTGGAACTGCACTGCGCGCTGGCGGTGCTGCGAGGCCTGCGCCAAGGGCTGCTGGTGGTGCTGCCAGGCAGAGATCTGCTGCTGTGGCAGCTGCTGTTGATGCAGATGCAGAGGTGGCGGCGGTGGCTGCTGCTGCTGGTGCTGATGCTGCTGCTGGTGCTGCTGCTGATGCTGCTGCCCGAACATGGGCACCCAGGGATACTTGTTGCACAGGCCGCACGGCTTGCCGTCCGCCGTGAAATGCTGCGTCGGCTTCGGATAGGCATAGCTCAGCCCACTGGCGCTCAGCTGCTGATCACGCGGCGCTGAGCCCGGACCGCCCAGGCCGAACCAGCGGGCGACGCGCGTCATGAAGCCACCTTCGGGTGGCTGTGGCTCCGAGTAGCCGGCATGTGTGAGTCGCTGCGCTACAGGCAGCGCCGGTGATGGCGGTGCGGGTGGTGCAACGGGCGCGGGCGGCGGCACCAGGTGATCAGCTGGCTGCGGCGGCGACAGCGCAACGGCAGCGGTCACTAGCAGCGCTGCCAGCGCCAGGCCCAAAGCAGTTGTCAGCTGGCTGCGAGTTGCCTGCAATGAGAACAATAGATGGAGGATGAGATGGGAGTACACAGAGAGAAAATAGGAAAATGTAGAACCTAAACAGTTTTAGGCCAATTACTGCTTCAGACATAATTTGAAAATCGCATAGAAGAGCAGCTAATCTGAAAGCGAGTGTCAGCTACACTGATAGAAAAGAGAAGTAACAAATAAATTAAAAAAAGAACCTTAAGACAGCTATGACAATTGCTAATTCTACTTAAGACAAGAATTTGAGAATACTACAATTTCTACTCTTAACAAGGGACAACAAGTCAAGTCTTATGCATTTGAAAATCACGGAGAAAAGCAGCGAAATTGAAAACGAGAGTTGCTCACACATAAGTGTAAAATACACTGATAGAAAAGAAGAAGTAACACGAGATGCAAGACAAATAAATGAAAAAAACGCCCACTTCTACTCCTACTCCAAACAAGTCTCACGTTTAATGAAAATCAAGGAGTAGAGCAGTGAAGAAAATGCGCGCCAGCGTCAACATACACTGAAAGAAAAGAAGAGTAACATCAAAATGAAATGAAGATCTTAAGGACTGCTATGCTGCTTCTTACTCCTCTTACTTCAGACAAGTCTCACACACAAGAGAAGCTAATTAAATGAGTAGCATTAATTTGAGAATCGCATAGAAGAGCAACAAACTTGAAGAAGTCAACAGAAACGGATTGACAACAGTAATACGAGACGAAAATGATATAAAAGTCCTACTTCTAACATAATGCAGAGAAGTGTCGTCCACATGAAACTCAAAATAAATTTGAGAAGCGTATAGAAGGGCAGCTAATTTAAAAACGAGAGCTAGTTACACATACACACGCTGATGGAAAGGCAAAGTCACACGAGCTGCGAGGCAAACAATGAAATGAGAAACCTCTACTGGGCTTTAGAGAAGTTGCACTTGAAAATCGCATAGAAGAGCAGCTCTACTAGTTTGTAGCACACATTTTCGCTCAGTGCAGACAACGCGCAATCAATTTTCCATTTCACTTTTCAGCTCATAAATTGAATGCCTCGCGGCGAGATGGCAACCATTGATATTGGCCAAATTGGAGCGGGCCGGTAAATGATTGGGCTTATTGATCCGGTTAGCGGCGACCGAGATCCATTATTAAGCCGAGCCGGTTAGGTGAGTCCGTTGTTCACGGCCAAGGTCTGGCCGGCGTCAAAACAATGCCAACAGGTGAACAGTGAAACAGGTAAACACTCAAGCAGGTAATCAACTCTTTCCCAATAGAGCTACAGACACAAATCGAAATGAAGTTATTAACTGCATAAGGAGCAGCTCAGAGAACTTGCCTCTTGGCCAAATTCATTCATAGCATGGAATATTTCCGAGGCTATTCACACAGAGCGCAACGATAGCAGAGGTCTTAAGTGTGCTCGATCAAGGAATGAAATATAATAAATTATATAACGGGCCCATTGTTATCGATTATCAGCTGCCCGCCCCTTTGACGTGATAGTGCGTCTTTTCAATTGAAAGCCCGACCGTAACTGAAACTGACTAATCGGCCCAATGACAGATTCACATAGATACGACATAATTGCAAAATAAATGAATCAGCTATTGATAGTACTATATGCGACATATCTGTAACTGAGCCCAGCATAGAATAATACGCACTCACCCAACTCTACTCGACTCGGCACATAGCTCGAGTCGCGCTGCTAATCTCGGCAATTTCAAGTGGTTTCCTTAGATTAAAAGCCAATTAACGTCAAAACCTCGCACAACCAAATAACAACAATACCAGCGACAGATAACTGCAGATATCAGACTGAATACCTGAATATATATATATATGTATATATGTGACTAAGAGTGCCTAAGTAAATCAATTAAATGTTGGCCTACATGCACGGTGGGTCCTTGACTTCAAAAATGTTGACAAAAATTATTATCAAATAATTTTTATAAGAAATAAAAAAAATATATTATACGTGTTTTGCATATATTTTTTAATTTTTGTTTTTTTCAAATGTTTGGTAATTTCATATATATTTTAATAAAATATATTTTAATCATTTCTTATCGAAGCTTATTTTCTCTTTTAATTTAAAGCTATAAATTAAATTAAAATTATATTCGTGTCGATTTTTTAATTAAAATTCAATTGAAATATGTACTTTGTATATATGTATTTATTTATACTTGTTTTAAATATTTATGTGTATACTTTTATTATTTTTTATTTTTTTATTTTTTTTTTTATTTTTTTTTTTTTTTTTATTTTTATTTTTATTTTTTTTTTTTTTGGTTTTTGTTTTTTTTATGTTAACGAATGAATTTCTTATTCCATTTTGTTTTCACATAAAATATAATCATTTATTATTTAGAAAAATGTATATATCAAAAATATTAAATATAAGTATATGAAATAATAAGTAAACTAATTCTCTTTAATACTTAATGATATTTTGTCATATATTGATAAAACTTTTCAAATTGAATATATGAAGTAGAGTTTTTTTTTTTTTTTTTAATTTATTAGCGTATTAGAATTTAATAACTGCACAAAAAAAAGAGTGAAGAGTTTCAGGCCTTTCATTTTTGGTAAATTTCAATTCAACAACGGAAAACAATTTGCATTAACAAAATTTGAATACGATTTGAAATATGTGTAACTGTGGCTATGACGAATGAATTTTGGCTCATTGCGGCTTTCTCTCGACTCGAGGGGGCAGGGTCGTGGCCCAAATTGTTAATTGACCCAAGCCAATGGCCAATGGCCAATGGCTACCGGCCGCCAGATGGCGTCATCATGGCCATCAAGTAACAGCCACTAAGTCTAAGCAATGCTGTTGCCTTTGCATTAGCTGTTGTTGCCTTTGCTTTGGCCTTTGCTTCAGTTGTTGCTTTCCATGCAACAACGTTCGACCACAATAAAAAAAAAAGCTGCATGCAACACACGGCCCGGTACCCACAGCAATGTTGAACTTCCTTCCATGTGCGTCTAAATGTCAATTTACCATTATTTATGGTGGCTTTCGGCTTTCGGCATTCGCCCCGCTCATTGACATCCCCACATGGCAGCCAGTTGCCCCCAGCTCAAGCTGAAGTTGAGACTAACCAGGCATCTTCCCTCCCTCCCTCTCTCTCTCTCTCTCTCTCTCTGTCCCTCTTGTGGTTGACTCTTCATTATCTGCTCAACGATTCCGCATTTCGATCGCCAGCAGCTGCTTAAAAACTACTTAAAGCGTAAACAAACCCAAACTAATTGAACTTTTCTTTGGGAATTCAATTTCATTTGAGTTGGAAGTCAATTTGCAAGCTGCCAAACGGATATATATATTTCGAATGACTATATAAATTGGATATAAAATCTGACCAGATGAAAATTGGAGATGAGAAGAGATTAAAATATATTATCTTTACAACTTTTGCGAATTGTAATAGCTGACAGGCATCATAAGAGAAAGAGAGGCAGAAGGGGTCAGAGGAAGTGATAGAGAATGGCAGAGAGAAACAGAGACAGAGTGAGAGAGAGAGAAAGAGAGAAGTGCGTAGAAGGAAAAGGCGGCGTAAGACTGAAAGAGAATGAGTGAGAGACATAGACAAACGGATAGGGAAAGAAAGAAAAAGATAGAGATAGAAGATCATAGAAAGTAAAAGGTGAGAGAGACAGAGAAAAACTGCAATACAATGCAAAAGAATGAAGGAGAAAGATACACAGATAGAGAGAGACAGAAAAATAGAGAGATAGATAAACACACTTCTCTAGATTGAAAAGAAATGGAGGGATAGAGCCAGATGGAGAGCGATAGCAAGAGACAGAGAGAGAAATTGACAGATATGAACAAATGTCGAGATTTATAAAGGTGGAGTGCGGAGATACATGGTGAGAGAGGACACACATCGGAAAGAAACAAAGAATATCGCAGAAAAACAAAGAAATACAGAGATAGAGACGACAGAAAACAGAGGAAAATACGAAGAGAAATACACAGAGAGATACAGTGAGAGACAATGAGATACACAGAGACACAGAGAGAGACAAAGAGACGCAGAACGGGATAGAGAGATACAGTGAGACACTGAAAGACATAGAGAGAGAATGATCCGGATAGATGCGGAGTGAGAGACGTGCAGATAGAGATACAGAGAAATAAAGAGTGTAAAGAAAAGTGAGAGAAAGAGAGGGAGAAAGAAAGAGAGAGATTGAGGGACATGGAAAGTAAGAGGAGTAGTAAGCAAGAGCAGCACATATGAAATCAAATACGAATCTTCTAAGAACGGCAACTCCAATAGGATTTCCTCGCATGAAATTAATACACGAACCTTCATTTAGACTCGGATTAACTAAACTAATCGCCATCCCACTCAAAGGCAACAGCAAGACCCACAAGGAATTATTGAATGAGATATTGTCAATTGTTCACTTTGCAGTTTTTCTCTCTCTCTCTCTCAGTTTGTCATTGGCATTGCCCAATTGCCAGCTCACGATGATCCTAATGACCCAATTTTCATAATACATGGAAATTTGGACCCAGCTTCCACTCGGCGTGACGCTGGTCAACTTTGAACCGTAGTTGGATTATTTTATGGAGCCGTAGTCAGCTGGGCTAATTATGTGAAAACTTGCTGCACATTTGGCTTGATATCAATGGCCATGGCAATGGAAATGGAAATGGAAATGACGATGGAAATGGCAGTGGGTGAGCAGCCGAAAACGAGTTGAGGCGGCAACAATGGGCGTGGGCTTTCTCATAATTATTTTTGGGCGACGGGTGGACGAGGCAAAGAGGGCGTCGAGAGGGGGCAGGCAGGCAGGCATAACTGTCACCATGTGGGGGCAGAGAAAGAGAGAGGGAGACAGACAACGTAATTCAATTAGAGGCGCTGTGACACGATATAAAATACAAATAAAACAAAAGCAGCGGGGGCTGTGAGGCTTATGGCCAAGCTAACGCCGTTGCTGTTGTTGTTGTTGCTGTTGTTGTTGTTGTTGCTGTCATTGGTAATAAATCGGGGTCA